TAATAACGAAACTTAATTGAGTTCAAATAGCCTTACTTTAGCTGATTCAATAGACTGGAGAACAAAAGGTGCTGTAACATCAGTTAAGAATTAAGGTGGTTGTGGTTCATGCTGGAGTTTCTCTGCAGCTGCAGTAATGGAGTCATTTAACTTCATTTAAAACAAAGCTTTAGTTGATTTTTCTGAGTAATAACTTGTTGACTGTGTCATCCCTGCAAATGGTTACAACTCTTATGGATGTAATGGAGGATGGCCTGTTTAATGTCTGGATTATGCCTCCAAAGTAGGTATTACTACCCTAGACAAGTATCCCTATGTTGCAGTTTAGAAAAATTGTAATGTGACTGGCACAGATAATGGCTTTAAGCCTAAAAGCTGGATTTAAATTCCTAACACTTCTAATGACTTAAAAAGTGCTTTGAATTTTTCTCCTGTTTCTGTTCTTGTTGATGCTTCCACTTGGGGTAATTATTATTCTGGAATTTTCAACGGATGTGATTAAACTCATATTAGCCTTAATCATGCTGTATTAGCTGTTGGCTATGACTAACAAGGAAACTGGATTATTAAAAATTCTTGGAGTACTTATTGGGGTGAAAATGGCTTTATGAGACTTGCTCCTAACAACACATGCGGTATCTTAAGCTATAATCTTTAAGTTACTGCTTGAAAAATATGGATAATCTATTATAATTAAAATATATTATTCGTATAAACTATTATTTTATATAAAATAGTCATTCAAATATTAAGATTCGATTAATTTTAAAAACAAAAATTTATTTAAATTAACATTAAATTTATAAATATTAAAAAATAATAATTAATATTTCAAAATAACTTGATAAAAAATAAAAAAGTAAATTAATTTTATAAAAAAAATTCAAAAAAAGCTAACTACAAAATTATTTAATATAAACTTATTCATTAAAAATAACTTCCTAGTTAATCAAAGTTTCTTTATATTAAAACTTCTTACTAAGATTCACTTGGTTTTAATTTATTTTAAGGCTTTTAAATAATAATTTTTAAAAATTTTCTCTAGGGACTTGATTAAGAGGTTATTTTAATTTTCCAAGATCATTTTTTATTTTTTTGATTTTCTAAAGCATATTTTAAATTAAAATTAATAAAATTTGACTAGATACTGTATATGCTGTAATTAAGGTGCATTAATTTCTTAAAAAAATATTTTGAATACACCTTAATTAACCATAGATTTTTATTAGCTAATAAGAATTAAGAAGCCATTAATTACTATGTGTAATCCCTAATATATATATATGTTACCAACTTAAAGCTAACAACATATATTTACTCATCATAAATAGCTCTAAAATTTATATAGCTTGCAATAATAATTTAACATATAGATGCGAATAAAATGATGTTTAAAAGCATTTAATATAAAAAGGGAATATTTTTAAAATTATTACAAATTAAACTGTTTAAATAATAATTTGAATGTGCATTCATTTTGTGTTTTAGATTATAATTCTATCTTTAAATTTATTTAAAATGCAATTATAAGTTGATTTTTTTTTAGTTTTCTTTCTAACCTAAAATCTAGAAAATTTAAATAAAATCAATAAAAATATTAATTAATTAGCTTTAGCTTTTTGAGAATTAAAAAGAGTTTTTACAAAAAGAATTATAAACGGATGCTCTTTATTTGAAATTAAAAATTTTATAAGTTATTTTTGATCAAATTGGTTTTTTATAAATAATTATTTAGATAATCTATAAAAAAATTTTATTTTTAAGAGTGATAAAAATTTTTAATTTTATTAATCTAGTCAAATTCGTTGGATTAAAGTTATACATTTAGAAAGAAACTTGCTATAAGCCTCAAAAATTCTATTAATTTGATAAAGTTAAATTATTGTTAGAACTGGTTTTTTTTGTAAAATTAATGTACAATTTTAGTAGAGTTTGAATTTTATTTAGTTTTAAAAAATAAGCAATAAATAGCATAAAAAATTTCAATTTATAATTATAACGTTTTAATATAATATTGATTGAAGGTTTGTTTGTTTGTTTTAGTGAGAGATTTTATATATTATATTTATTGGTAGAAGTGCTTTGAAATAAGCATAAACAAATGTGAATAGGAAAGGTAGGATGAATAAAAATATACTAAATAAGTTTTATATATAAATAAATAACTTATTTTAATGATATATCAAAGATCAATTGGACTTTCTGTTTTATTTTCAAAGTACATATAATCAATTAAAAGAATAGCAGCCATAAAAAGAGCTTTGTCTTCAGGAGTCAAACTAGGAGGGAAACCTATAGTAAAGTTATCTGTTTTACCAAAACAACTCTTTAGACAACCTGCAGATTTCTTTAGAATTCTTGTAATTAGTTCACCTGCTGGATTCTTTACTTCAAAAGTTAATTCTTGGCAAGATTGATAAGGGCAACCCATACAAAGGAAACCAAGTTAGCATAAGGATCCAGAAATTATAAACTTGATATTGCCTGCAGCATCTTCAATTTCAACACAAAGTTCGTAACATCTAAATGGTTCTCTAATTTTTCCAAGATACTAATTCATACCATTTTCTACAACTGTTACAGAGAGTTCAGGACGATTGAAGCAGTAACATGTACACCTGAATGGACGTTACATTTAAATAAAAGTTGAGCCAGAAAGTTATCCATAATTTAATTTTCCTTGCTAATTTGTGACTGCCATATCAAATGGACGGCAGTTTGGGGCTAAGCATTAACGTACACAACAGTTACTAAGTTCTTTGCACTTGAATATAGTTTAATCTGAAATTTATATACCATTAACATCAGTAGGATAAACCTTGTAGACATTTGGAGTTTAGCATCCAGTCAATGCCTCAATGACTTCTATCTTTTATTCAATAAATATACCTTAAGCAGAAGCTAACTTTTACAATCCGTTTTAAATAGCCACTACTGCATTCTATTGCATAGGCATCATTTAAATATTAGGCATACCTTACTATCCATAACCTTAACCGAAGGGCTATTGATTTTACTATTGCTATTATGGTGGATACATTTATTTATTTATCTATTAATGATAATTTATTTTACTTAACTTTTTATTAAATTTGTATGATAATTAATATTTATAACAATTATATTTGGCAATAAATATATAAATCAGTAAATAAATAAAAAAATTATTTATAAATAGAAATTCAATCATAACGTATATCTCTAGAAGCTTATTCTTTTTACAAATTTTTACAAAGAGATTATATTGTTTAAATTGTCTATTCTTAATTCAATTTTATGTATTATTTCCTTAAAATTAATCAATAAAAGAGATAATCAAATTTAATTAATTTTTCTTTTTAATCAATTACTGAAAAGTAAACCAGCTAGTTAAATGCATCAAATATAATATTTATCACTTCTAATAATAATAACTATCACAAATAAACAATCAAAATTACTGATTCGATAAATTAAAAAAAATTTAAAATTTAAATTATTACTATCTAATGACCATGATATTTATCTTTGTTTGATTTTTTTTATTAATTGATAAAATATAGATGATCTTATAAAGTTAGCTTTCTAGCTTTAAAAAATTTATAACCTAATTGCAAACGGTTCTACAAATATAGATCAAAAGCTTAAGTATCTAAAAATTCAAACTAGACCCATTTATTAATATGAAAACAAATCAACTTTCTTTTTGAATATTTGTGGTCTTTATTTTTGATTTTGATATTATTACCCACCCAAATCTTAATTATATTCAAAATAGATTTTTTTAGGTTTCCTTGAAAACAAAAATCTAAATAATAATTTAAATATTTTTATGCATAAAATAATATTTTTCTAATTAGTTATAAATAAATTAACTGGATTTTAAAGAATCTAGTGAGTTTCTAGTAATTTAATTTACTGACTTTAATAGCTCAAAGATATTAAGCAAATTTATAAAAAAATATTTAGATTCAGAAATTTAAATAATATGTTTCAAAATTTTAATTTGATAATATTAATATATTTTTCACTTTTATAGTTAGTAAATTTGATTAGTTACATGAGATTGTAAAAAAATTCTATAGGTGGAATAAGAAATTAAATGGAAAAAATCCTAAAAAGTAGATGTAACTAAATGTAAAATTTTTCTTTTACAAATCAATTCAATATAATTTTAATAGGTTAATAGATAAAATGTTTTTATTTATTGTTTTTACCATAATTTAAAATATTATTTTTTTCATTTAAAATATTTTGAGATATCTTTTTACTTTTCTGCATTTGGTTTATAATTCAAGAAAAGAATTTAGAACAAATTTATGTAATTTGATCCAAGATCTTATGAATCCTTATTGGTGATTTAAATAAATACGCTGTATTAATTAGATTATTTTCCATTAAAAGCCTTTTAAAGCAAGAAGATAAGTAATTAAGAATAAATAATGAATGATATTTACTAGTAATAATTTTTCTATTTTGAAAGTTACAAATAATTAAATTGCAAAGCTCTACTTTTTAAATTTTTTTAAGTAAAAATAAAATTTTATTTTTATAATAAAAAATGAATAGATAAATTAAAATATCTATGGATAATTTAATGTAAATTGTATTTTTTACAATAATTGTTTATGGGATAATTAATATAAATTAATCTAATTCAATATAAAATTACAACAATCATCATACATTTAGATTACACTTTTCAAAAGGTAAAACTCAAAAAAAAAAATGATGAAGTTAATATTTAATAATTTAAATAGAAAATGAATTTAAATTTATATAATTTAATTTTTTAAATTAATAATTATTTGCAATTAGTAAAATTTGTTGAAATATTTAAAGACAAAATATAAAAAAGAAGCAATTAGCTATTTTATGATTTATTTAGCTTCAAATGAATTAGTTTTGAATGAATTTATTTATAAACATGTAAGTAAGCATACTGAGAAAAATTAAAATAAATATTTATGAGCAATATCATAAAATATCTACTAAAATTAAAAAATATTAAAATATTTAATTCATTTTTGTTATTTATTAGTGTGGCTAACTAATGTCTAAAAGGTATTTTGCTTTACGTTTTATGCGGAGTATTTAAATTATTCTTATTTGATGGATTGGCTATCATTTAACATGGTATCTTTTTAATTAATTAATTAAAATAAATTAGTTAAATAATTTTGACATTAATAAATTATGATTTTACCATTCAAGCGTTAAGAATCAAGAAGCATATTGTTACTAAATATTTAATTTTGCTATAAATTATCAGATGTACTGGTTTGATCTTTAGTCTCTTAACTAGGCTTACTTATCTATTTAGCAGGTTTTATCACAGAAGTGCTAAAAACTTTATTAAATTATTCCATTTCTAGAGATTATTTAAACAATTTTAAATTATGATTTGCAATTTAGTATTAGGATTCTATAATTTTTTAATCTTATAGTTTATCTTAGCTTGTAATAAAAAAATCATTTTATGTAGATTTATTTATTGGAGAAAACACACATTACTCAGGTTCTTTGGAGTATTTGGGTGTTGTGGTATTTATATTAAGTTAAGAAAACTTTACTTTTTATTTTTCTTCTCCATCTAAAAATTCTTTAGATTACAACTAATCATTAATCATGGAAAGCGCTTATTTCTCTTTAGCTAACTTTAAAGCTCTCTGTTTTGTTAATAAAAATACCTTAATTTGATTATTTTTTGAAACTAGGACTTAAAGTATTAAATTTATTTAATTTCTTCATAGGATGAGGTTCGCTTTGAGGGATTGCATTTGTATTTTTTTTCTAGCTTGATACTCGCCAGTTGCTGCTTATTTAAATTTAAACTTTGCTTTCAAATTATTATAACTAATGCTGCCTTAATTGAGCAAGTTATTTTATTGACTACTTTATCTTGTTGAATTTTCTGATTGATTAAAATGGTTTATTTTTAAATACTTTGATAAAGCTGAATGTTTCTAGAAATCTTAGCTTCGCTTTATAAAGGATTTTTTGGAAAAAGCTTTATTATGATACTTCTGCTAGAATAGGCTCTAAGAAAACAAGCAAGACAAGTTTTAATATAAAGAGCCCATTCAAGGAATAAATGATAATAGTAACATATGGACTCACACTTAGATTTACTTCTTAAAGGCCTTAATAAAGAATAGTAAGATTTATCGTCAATATTGAAATGAATATTGATTATTGTTCAAGTTAATTTCTCTAATAAGATATATATGGACAGCTTCGAGTTGACATTATACTATAAGATACCAAAGTAATATTTACTACAAAAGCCTAACATTAATAATAAAAAATAATTTTTTTTTTGATT